TAAGTATTCTAAGATTATTTCAAGTATTTTTTACCTCAGCATCGTCAAAATTTAAAATTAATTTTATAGAATATAAATCAAGTACAATTTACTACGTCGGTTATATAATAACAGAAGTGATACAGTCAACTTAAATATTTTTATAGTTTTTATCAGATACAATTCAACAAACGAAAAAGCGGCTACTTCTTAATTGGCCACAAAATTGATTATATAACTATTCATATATTTTAATGTGCTCATAAATCGATTGCTAAGAAAGTTATTTAAACAAAACTAAAATGTATCCATAAAAGCTTATGGTCTTTAATATATTTACAAATAATATGTATTATTGCTATTATTACTATTATTTTAACTATGAATATAAACCGAAACATTTATCCTTGTCCCTGAATATTGCACATTAACAGCGTTATGAACACGCATTACGTGATTTTTTCTGTTGCTATAGTTGGCCATTTTACAAAATATAACTAAGTGCTGTAGATATATCTTTAAAGAACTTTTATACATTAAAATTAATCATTTGACGATATAAATTTATTGTATTAACATTTTATTTTAAAATTATACATAGATACTGAATAAATTTATAAATGTCACAATTCAATTTAAGATAAACGATTTTAATTTTACACTATAACAATACGACACAGCCATGCTAATTATTATTATTTATTATTTGTTTTAAAAATTAGGTTTCAATATCACCGAGTAGATAATATTTTTCTTCAAAATGTTGTACACTACCACATATATCTGATTACGTTTTCCTCTTAAAAAACACGATTTTACATAATATTTTATAATTTACCTGTATATCTTCAAATCATGTTTGATTATCATTTTTTTGTATATTCTATTTTCATATTTATCAACATAACAACAATTTGAATCTATATGTTTCTTTATATATATATATATATATTATTTATATGATATTTTAATTTTTTGCAATTTGAATCCTCTGAAAAATTTATAATTTTTAACTTGGTGTTTCAGTTACGTTATAATCACGCGAAATTTTCTTCTTTACAGTTTTTGAGCAATACGAAGAAACTAATACTAACTACAATTTAAAATTAGTTCTAGTTGTTAATAATAATTGAAAATTATATTGTTATTATTATTTTTATTAATTTACTTTGTGAACATTATTTATCAAGATACCATATTTCTTAGAAAAATCGCCTATAATTATATGAAGATTTGACAAAATATCATATTAATTCGTATACATTTTTAAGGTTTCAACTACATTTAGGTAAGATTTTAATTAATTAGATTATTTTTATCGCAATAAAGTAAAGGTACACTAGAACATTTTAAATTACGTAAAAAACTCATTCAAAAAGCTAAAAAAATTATCAAAATCATAAAAAATCAAGGAGAATTCAAAATTTTCCTTATATGATATAAAAAACAAATTTTTGCAATAAAGATTTATTATTATTATAATTTTACTGAACCATTCACTGAAATTTTTCCTGTCTATGTGTTTATATATTGAGTTGATTACATAAATTATTCTATAATATATATTCCAAACGATGTATCACGTTCTCCATGATATTTTGTTTGAATTATTACAAAGACATTATTTGCATAAGGATTTCAAACTATATGTGTATTACATATGTAATATTATGAATAATGTGTTTAATATACTAATCCATTCGATATTGTTAAAGAATGCCAATTAGTACATTAATAAGCACCGTTGAACACAGTTTTTGAATTCTGATATTATTATTTTATTTTTAATGTATTATAGGAACGCTGAATTTAATACATATGAAGGGTACGCTGTGACTACTTAATTGAAAAACAATCCGTAACATAAATCACATGAATTTATTCGGTGACCATAAAATTACTGTCACATTGCAAGTTGCAGCCAATTGTTTGTACCTGATATTTGTGTATATTTACTTCATTGTCACAATAACTAATATGTTCCATTATTTAAAATGAGGTTATTATAAAACTGACGGTATACAAGCCAGTAATAATAATTATAATAAAGGTCATTTAAAGATATAGCATTCATAAAGGCTAAGCTTTAGTAATATTAAAATTAATATATATATATATATATATATATATATATAAAAATTTCCCACTTATTTACTGTAAGTCATATACTTAAATCACTAAACGAAAGTGTGTACTTAGTAAGTACTAGATTACGGTTGTTTATATATTTTTAAAACGTATGTCAATAGAATAAACTGTAAAACATTCATCTGTCAAACGAATAATATAAGGTTGCACCTTGAAAACATTAGGCATACCCAAACAATAATAGCTAAATTACTCACACAATAATTTTGAATATTTTAAGTAGCCAGCGTTTCAGCTTTAGATAAAATGTAACCCGGCCGACTAGTCTTGAAAATCTTACGGGAACACACAATATTGTATTTAAATTTTACTTTCGTCGGGACTCCACACGATCTAGTCGAATTATGTTCAGAGCAGTAAATAATAAGATATCTCAGATTACTTTTGCGTTGTCAGGTAATGTACAAACAATCGATTTATATGCACAGTTATTATTATATTATTAAGAATTTTCTTCATAGTTGCGATGGTTAGAAAACACAAGCTTTTCACAATATATTGTAGAATATAGTGTGTATTTATATGTGCGGGTAGTTAAAAATTGGTAAGGACTATATATACGTTAAGTGTGAACTATTCATTTGTTTCTTCGTACTATATATGACAAAATGACGATTTATAATTATATATTAATACTAAATTCCATTCAGGATATTGTATCGAAATGAAACCAAAATAAAATATTAAATATTATTGTTTTTGTCAGACGTCCAAAGTCTAGTACTAGAATAAATTACTAACAGGATAATATATTTATGACATCGAAATAGTTGGTTAAATATTAATGATTATCGTCTTTCATGTAACGCATTACACAAACAACAAAAAAAAATAAATAAATAAAAAAAATCGTACATAATAGTCAATGAAAAATGACATATTGGTCGTGTCGATAAAAATAAAAATAAAAGTCGTCATCAGTCGTCTTTATAAGACAATCTAGATGTATTCGGAGGAATTTGAAAATCGTTTTTAATTAGCATGTTAAAATTATCACGAATATTTTACCTTTATGGTGTTCATAAAACACGTACATATTTTCTACATTAATCGAAAAAAAAACAATCATACAATGTATGTACAATGTACATATATGCTAATTTTAATGACAGCACGCTTAATTTTATAGTTCATACAAGGGTTCTCATCGTAGTTGTAATTTCTTTTTTTAATTTGAATAGCTATTAGTTTTGCACTAGGAATATACACTATTGTTTAGTTTTAGTTGACTAAGTTTTTATGACTTAATAGTGTAAAGGATCCATAGATCGTAAATCCACATACTCGCATGTTACTTATTGGTAACGAATGGTTTAATATAGTTAAAACATCAAAATACAAAATTATTTTTATTAAAATATGTCAAATATAATTATGTTATACCTTATAGATTATCTAACTAATAATATGTATGACTAATAAAAACCAAATATTCATTAGATTTATATATTCTTATCCTATTCTTAAAACAATATGAAATTACATTTTCTCTTAGATTTAAAAATGTTAAATGGTGATGATTTAATCGTAAAAACATAAATTAATTATTGTTTTATTACATACTACGTAATTATTTACTAAAAATCAAAAATAATTGTTATGTGTGATATATATTATTTTTGTTTTAAAAAATGTTTTTGATTTTCATTATTGGGCGAAAAATTGTAACTCTATAATAGAAACAGAACGTTCCTTCTTATTCAGTTACACGGAAACCTGCCTAAAACGGAGATTTTTATAGCTCTATTTCGCAAGCATGTACTTTTGCGATTTTTTTATTTTTGCAATATATGTTATTTTGCGGATAATTTGCGTGATTTTGAGACGTATTTCCGATTTTTGTGGATAATTAGATTTTTTGCAATTCAAAATAAAATAAATTATATAAGTATTCGACTTGATATGATTTTTAAAAATTTTGACGTTCTAAAACAAGAACCATTATCGAGAAAAATAAATTTTGATGCAGATAATTCGATAAGATCACGTTAACGTTTTTATTTCATTTGAATACTTACTGTTTGGGAAAAATTCTCAATTCAATTGACAGGATCAATATAATTTTACAAAAACTAAAACTAACAATTTGATATAACTGTCAAAAAGTCTGGGAAGCCTCCTTAAAATTGTACTAAACTTTCGAGAGCAATGTATATATGAGACTTTATCTGATTCAAAGAATAAAGCTGAAACATTAGGCATTTAGACAGAATTTCCAAAAGTCAAGTTACGAAAATAGAAAGAGTTATCCGGAGGAATTGGAGAAGATGAGTTTTGTAACGTAAGTGAAGAAAATACATTTTTAATAACGATTTTTAATGTTAATATTTAAACAAACTGAAAAAATTATTATGCAGGTTAGATGTCATGATAAATGATAATAATATGTTAAAAAAATAAAAATAAAGCAGTTACCTAATTAGTTTTATAAATTATTTTATTTTGAATTGCAAAAATAGTGATTTTTTTAAATGTTCGCGACATTTCACCAGCATGTCAACGATTTTTTTGAATTTACTAAAAAATTAGTTGTCCGCAAAATCACGCAAATTAACCGCAAAATAACATATATTGCAAAAATAAAAAAAATTGCAAAAGTACATGCTAGCGAAATGAAGCTGATTTTTATTGGTCTCATACAATTTCGCACAAGACAGGTTTTACTGTATATCCTTGAGCATAAAACTGACTCTGACAATGGACGTACCTAAATCGAATATTAATGCAAAATTAAACGCTTGGTGAATTTTATGTTTAAGTTATCAAGTCACATACAAATGTTTTGTAAAAAAAAAATTTAACGCCGGTTTTATTGTTTATAGTACGCTATAAGATTACCATAATTGATATCGCGTTACCGTTCTGCCTTGTAGCGTCTTTGGGAGCGTTCGTCATCGGCACCGTGCTCGGATGGTCGTCACCGACCCAGAAGATGCTGGAGGATGGCACCGCGGTGGACTTCGAAGTGTCGCCGATGGCCGCTGCGACCGCGTGCTCAATGTTCGGCGTGGGCGCGGTTATTGGCGCGGTGCCGGCGGGCGCGGTGTCCGCGGTGTTCGGGCGCCGCGTGTCGCTGATCATCGGCGAGTCGAACGTCGTCTTGGGCTGGCTGATGATCACTTTCCCGACAGCCACGCGCATGCTGTACGTGGGACGGACACTGCAGGGCGTCGGATGCGGTGCAATGTGCACCATAATACCAATGTACGTCGGAGAGATAGCGGAACCCGAGATACGAGGTTTTTAAAAAAATATCATCTGCGCACGTGTACCGCATGTGCAGTATTCGTTTTCGGGCTGGGAATGCGATGCCGTTTGGAAAATGGAGCTCCGGAGGGCCGTAATGTCTCGATTTTTCCAAAAGCTAATCGATATTACAGAACGATACGCGTTAGTATTGAAGTATATCGTTCGAATGTTTTTGTGTAATAATTTCGAACTTTTGCGACTACCGGTATACATACATAGTTAATCGTTTTCCTCTGACGCGATCGAATGCAATCTTTGTTTTAGGTTCTTTCTTTTTGTTTGATCGACTTAGAATAAACATTTTCTTTACACAATTGCTCGATTAATGGTCTGGATATTGTTTAGTTGTAGATATTACTTAATAGTTTCATATACAAATAGGGGTGCCCGCAGAAAATCAGCTCAGTGGGTGCAAAATGAAATGCATGTTATATATTTACACAGCCGCATATTTACATTATTATATCCACAATCCACGTAATAAACATAATTCCGAATTAAATGCAAAATAATATATAATAGTATAAATTATAATACAATATATATGTATTATAAATTATTAATAATATTGTATGAATTATGAATCAAATAGTATTATAGTAATGATAAACGTCTGACATTTAGACCAAAATGATTCATAACATCGGTTTTCTGTTTTTCTAAAAATATTGTATCGTCAAATCTATTTTTGTGAATGTGAATTAGAGCCAAACTGCTTAATCTCATATTGGACATTGTAGATCTTACCCAAGTTTTGATATGACGCAAAGCACTAAAGTAGATAATAATTAAAGTCAAAATTAAATAATCAATATAAAATATGATTTATAATATGTTAGGTACCTTAAGGTTTTTTTAACTGAACAGGAAGTTGCTGGTAATGTAATGGCTATTTGTAAAGCTATATTTACAGCAGGATAATATTTAGATTCTTTTAATAAATCAATTATTTGTGTATTTGGATCACATGGTTTTATTTAGCCATATTTCATACCAAGTTCTTGCTTTTTCTTCAAAATTACCAAGAAAAGATCCATATAAGTTATTGATAGATTTAACCATTTCACTGAACTCATCAATGTTCATTTTTATCATTTTTTTTGGATGTAAATGAAATAACGAAAATGATTTTAAATTTTCATCAGAGAATTTCTATCATTGATTGACATTATTATGAGATCTAAGTAGGGAGTAAATAAAGATTTTCTAAAAAAATCATCAATATTATTACTTGGATAATCTCGTTGTGTTTGTTTGATAACTCATAGTGGTATTTGTAACTCTAGATCAATTTTAGTTGCAATTACTTCTGCTTTTTTGAATATTAAGTTAAATTGATACTCATTGTTACATCTATCATTTTTTACAACTTGTAAAAGCTCTTGAGTGTGTTTTGTAACTTCTTGTAAATCAATATTCACACCTTGAAAAATAATAGATATAAATTCAAATTTGGCAGAATACTTTGCTATAATTTATAATAAAATAACAACATTTGGAGTAGTAATTGCATTTAGAATTTCAAGGCTTCGTTGTTTAGTTTTACTGTTAAAATGTTTTGATGTTGACATTTCTTTTAAACCTTCTACAACAACAATTAATTTTTCATTTAATTGTTATACAATCTTATACTTTTCTACATATCTAGTAGCACACAATTTGGTTAATTTACAATTGCTACCATAATTTATACTTAAAATCTTCAGTAATATTTAAATTATTTTTTATATAATGTCCAATATCATATTGATCACAATCATTTTCAACAGCAAAATTATTAATAAAAACTTCATTAACAACTTGAACTATACAAAAAATATAATATTAATATTACCTACACTACTAAAATCTTACATGAATTATTTGATTACAATTATTTTCTGAGGAAATTGAATGAAGAAGATCAGGTTTATCAAATACTTATTTTATTTCACTGGTTAATGCATTAGATTGCTTTATTTGATAATAAAATAAAAATAAAAAACATATCTGATGTATTAGAATATGTAGACATGTATTATACATAAGACTAAACTGTAGGGTTGGGAATTTGGGATGTTTAAAACATGTTTTCAAATTCTAATATTATTAATTCTATTTCATCGGTCAATGTATGTACTATTAATATATAAGAACCAATGTCATGAGCATTGAATTCAACAGCCTAATACAATAAATTTAATTAATATCCCCATTTTCAGTATAAATAATATATTTGAGATTAACTTAATTAAATAAATATTACGTATGACTTTTTTTTAGAATAAAATAACTAAAGAACCAAACAATATTCGTAATTTAAAGAGTAACAAATTTATATTTGTTTATACTTTTATATTTAATAAATAATATATGATAATTTCAGTCTTAAAATTAAGTAAAGTAGGTACTAAATATTAACTGAAAATAAATAATAATATGTTAAAATTTGTATTCGAGTAGGTACTTACCAAAATTAGGTTTTGTGACCCTGCTGTTAAGTCTGTCTCTCTTTGTAGCAAAGGTTTCTTTTTTGAAAAAAACTTTATATTGAGTGCTCTTTTCTTTTATTACTCATAATGATAATTTTTGTATCTAAATGAAGAACTATAACTACCTATAATACCTTTATAACTTGGTAATTTAATCTTGAAAACCATTCAATTGTCAACATTCAAGATGAATCGCAATAACTAATGAGTAATGAGCTGGACGCTATCGTAATGTACGGGGAGGACCGAGGAGAGTGTTACTTGTTACTTGTTATCGAATATTCTCGATTATCGAGCGTTGTAATTCCCGTATATTTTGTACAGACATCTATATATAAATAGATAGTCTAGATAGTAAATGTAATAATAATTATTATACCATACACAGTGACACAGTGTAGTAAGAATATACTAATAATATAGTCATAACTCATAAGACATAAGGACATAATATTATCCTGTGAAAGTTAACGTTAGATGATTATTTGTTTTTAGAAAAAAAAATCAGAAAAAAATTGAATATATTATAATATAATACTATACATTTTTTTTCATTTTTTGTTTATTAAAAAATCTTAGTGGGTGCAATGGCACTCTCTGCAGGCGTCCCTATTTACAAATGTTACGAGTTATTTATTTTTAATAAATAACAATATACTGAAGCCTTATCAAATTATATCTGTACAATTAAAAAAAAATATTTAATCAGATGTACACAAATTTGAGTAGATCATGATACAAGTTTGTAAATATCGAAAAGTACTCGTTATTGTTGAACTGGTCTAAAAAATAAAATTCAGACATTACCATTCATCATCGATTTTATATTAATTTATCTTTTCGTATATAAAACTAATTACATACATTAGTATATATTATTCTTTCATTTTGAAATTAAAACCATTAGAATATTTAAAATATTAGATAAGTGTTAAGTTTATAGCAAACAATCCGATAAAACATACATGATGATTTTGATGAACAATAATTATTAGATGCTTGTAAAGACTTAATATAAAACATGTTTTTGAGAAAAATAAGAACCATTTATTTTTTATTTAAAGGTCCATTATTATTATCATAGATAATTTGTTTGAAATCGAATACATTAAGAATAATTAGTGATAAAACTACATAATTTGTATTCAAATAGAATATTTCAAAATAAATTATAATTGCATAAAATAGGTATACTTATAGATTAGTTGAACATCGTTCTTGTAGCATTGAAATCCCAGCCCAAGTTATTATTATATTGTTGTAAGATTAATTAATTTTAGATCATTTTCGACTTTCTCTTCGATTTTCTAGGTTTCCTTGGAGGTTTACACCAATTATTTATAGTGTCCGGCATTTTGTTCTCGTATATCTTCGGCAATTTTTTGACTTACACTCAACTCAATATGGCTTGTGGCGTTTGGATGGTAGTGCACTTATTGGCGATGTTGTACGTTCCGGAGTCGCCGTATTTTCTCATCCGGGATGACAAAAGAGTGCGCGCTGAAGAAGCGTTAGCACGACTACGGGATCCTAATCACGACTGTAAGTCTGAACTCGAAGAGATTCAGGTAAAGTGCATTACTATGGTTTTTGTGGTCCAAATTTCGCGAATAGACTTGTGGACTTCATATTCATTCAGTGTGGCGCACGCGCGTTATTGATTTTCACAGAAGTTCGTGGAGGAAGAGCAGAAAAATAGTTATACAGCGCGTGAGGTGTTGGAAAAGAACGTGAACCGTAGGGCGTTAACGATCGGTATTGGTTGCATGTTTTTCCAACAGATGACTGGCATCAACGTGATCATATTCTACCTAAAACATATATTTGAAAATTCAGGCAGTGAAATTAGTCCAGAGCTCTCGACAACCGTTGTTGGCACAATACAAGTATGTCGCATCCTTATTATGACACGTATATAATATGTTACCAATAAATAAAATTATTTAGAAATAAATCATTACTTTGAAAACACCACGCGGCTACATTATATTCTAGGTCACACGGCGTATTGTGTAGGCAATTTAAGTACTCGTACGTTTTGAACTGATGTGCAATACGATTTGGCTTTCAGCCACTAACCATTAATTTCACATGGAAACAACACATATTCATACTAATTAATATTTCATGGTCGAATGTTTGATCTTATTAATTAAAATTGCAAATTACATTGAACCGAGTGACGGATCGAAATTAATTTTGTTTAAAATATAACTCAATATATTGTCCTTAAACTATTCGGGGACAAAATTAAATAAGGACTTTCGACTTTGTTTATTCTTTTAAATTAAAAAAGTGATTAGTTTTTGAAAAATCGTACTTTATTTCTGAAAACTAATATATTCAATTTATTTGATTACAAAAAAATAAAATACAAAACTGAATAATTCCAAATTTTAACTTGAAATTAAAATGTTGTATAACAAAACTAAAACAAATTTAATTAATACAATTTATGTAGTCAATTGATACCTATTGCAATTGTTTACCAATGAAGTATATACTGTTTGTGTCTAAATAAAACGAGTAATATACAATTTTCGATTTTCTTCTTGTTTATTAAAATCCACTTGTAGTTAACTTGACTAATTATTCAATAACCTAAAAATGGTTTTATTTTATAGATATTTACATACTATATTGAATTAAAGTTTAAAGAATATTATAAGTCTTCTTAAGTATCAAAGAATTGATTATCTTAGATCTCAGCACAAAAGAAGGGAACTTTATGAACACTGTCGTAAAACTTAATTCTTTATTCTCATCAAATGGAGATTAATCTACCGTTTATTATAAATAATAGTTATAAAATGTTGTTTTGTAGAAATAGAATGGTTTGAAATTATTTTACCTTTGTGCATTTTTTTATTATATATGTTTGTTTTTTCAAAGTTATTTGTTTACGATAATTATTGAATGAAAATCGTTAGTAGTACTTTTTACTTCAGTAGATATTTTTAATACATTTATTTATGAATCAGGGAGTAAACGAAAATTAAAAATATTTTATTCCGTTTTTAAAATAAATTTCCTATTTATTTACATACTAGACTTGAATACCAATTTCTATATTTTGTATTATACTTTAAGATAGTTATGTAAAATATAATCTATTTATTTTAGCTCGTTATGACGTTTGTATCCATGATGATCACAGATAAGTTTGGCAGACGTTCGCTAATGGTTTACTCAATGACTTCAATGGGCATCTGTTTTTTAGCACTGTCATATTATTTCTTTGCGAAAAAATACAATCCTCGCGTGGCTGATTCACTGGACTGGTTACCACTCATAACCATTGTTTTGTATATATCTATGTACTCAATTGGTTGTGGTCCCATACCGTACATAATTATAGGAGAAATATTCTCATCGGAAGTAAGTTATACTCGTATAATTGTAATTATAACTCTCTAAACATTACACACTCAATAGAAGAAATACTTATTAATAATTATTTAAAAAACAGAATAATATCAAAATTATTCTTATTTTCTTAATAGATACTTATACTCTATAGTTAACTAGATCTTTCTCTTCATATTAATTTATTTTGTCTGATTTCAATTGTTTTCAAACCAGTTTATTTATAACAAAAATAATCAAATAAGTACTTGTACATTGGATTGTTTTAATATGTTTAATTTCCATCTATTTTTTAGCTCAAATCTATGGGTACAGGTATGTCCATAGCCACTAATTGGACAGTTGTTTGGTTGGTGACGTGTTTAGCTAACCCTATGGATACGTTTATTGGGCCAAGTGGAACGTTTTTTGTTTACTCGGGATTTTGTTTTTTGGGCATGTTGTTCGTTGTCAATCGTGTCCCGGAGACTAAAAATCGATCTCTAGCTGAAATTCAATTTGAACTCGAAAAGAACTAGTCATTCAAAAGAGTACGATATTATTGTTATAAAATTGTAAGACATGTGTAATTATAGTTAAAATTAAATTAATATATCTTATACTTGAGGCATGTAAATCAAAAAAAATATTTTGTTTTGTATAATATTAATGTTGCTTATTGTTTAATATTTTATTGTTGAATAAAATTTAAATGCCATATAATTCATAATTTAAATCTATAAGTATTTAAAATGAAATTACGTGAAGTCAAATAAATATTTTGTTTCATATAAGTTTTATTGAATGGGGGAAAAATAATGGAAGCAACTGAAAATAAAATTCCTAATCTGATTTACATATTGTCACATTATTGTATATATGAACTATAATAGAAAACTACTCGTATGCACCATGTATAATTTAATACCAGAATTTATATTTAACAATTTAATAAAAAAAATATGCTAGTACACATTTAGATAAGGAGGATAAAAAAAATCTCTGATGATTACTTAGATTATAATTATTATGTTATGAATTGTACTCATCAATTTAAAACTCGAACTAAAAAGAAAAAAAATCCTCTTTAATTTTGAGGTATAATAAATTTGTAAAATAATATTATTAAACTGTTATCTTATTAAATATTATGAATACCAATTGCAGATAGTATAAAGTAACTTTAGTTATTTTTACGCAAATATGCTAAAGTTTTTTTTTTTATTTAGGTAAAATTTAGGCAGTATAATATATTATATATAAATATACAAACAATTAAAATGTATAAAAAAAACTTTAAATTCATAAAGAATTATAATAGTTCATATGAGAATGAAACTAAAAGATTACAATTATTAACGTCAAATTTCATTTAAATTAAATTAATTAATTGAGGTAATGGAGATCAAATGGATTTTTTTTAAAAAGTAATTAGTTTAGACTTGTGAATTATTTTATTCTAATGTAAATAATAAGTTTTCTCAAATGAAAACGTATTATAGTATATGTGTCGAATACTACTGAATGTTTAAAGGAACCAATGAATTTAAAATTTTAAAATCTTTATAACAACTCGAAGGTTTTTTTATTTTGTTTTTTCTTAAAGATAAATTACATTAACTATTGATAAATGTTTTGAATATTCAATGTAAAAATTTGCAATTTTATCTTCTTGTTTAGAACAGAAATACATTTATCCTTCCATTTTAATTTATACATACCTGTTTTTTTATTTTGTATAAAATATTTAAAAAACATTTTAGAAAATATTTACCTTAAATAAATATTAAACCTATTATTGAGTCATTGGTTAAAGGTTTATATACGTCTCTACGAATCACCTTGAAATTATTATTTTTTCATTGTTTACAAGTTTACAGTTGATAAATATACACATGTATTATCATTGATTTATTTTCATTGGACTCATAGTTATAACTTATACGTATTCATTTATAGAATTCTTAAAAATTTTACCATAATTTTACTGTGAACGTTGAATAACATTTTTTACGAGTACCTGCAAGCGTTGATTTTTAATACTTATGATTTGATTATATTATATAATATAATATCCTAACGACCTTAACAAATTTTAAATATTTTTCTATAAATCTATAAAAATTAATGTGTAAATCAGAGAACAAGTTTAAAACCAATGACATCATACAAGAAAAGTGTAATCAATGACTTAACATTACCTATATCTATTTTTGCTATATCTTTTATAAATATATATCATACTATTTAAACGGAACAAATTTATTAAAACATATAAAAGTAAAATCATTTAAACCATTTTAACAAAACTACGGAAATAATTACATAAAGAATATTATTCAATATAAAATATTTTTATAGATACAAATTAAACTTAAAAAATACTTAGGAATAAGGCCTTGAATCCGTTCAATTGATTCAATTAAGCTATAAAGTGACTGCACGAGAACACGTACGTTAAATAATATAATTAAAGAGACTCTTTAATGTACAATTTAACGTAGACCCTTTGCCAAAATACTAAGTAGTAATAAATAATTAACGACAGTAATCTAGTTTGTCTGTCTTTCTAAATTCTAGTGTAGGTTTTTTTTTTTTTTTTTGTATATCCAGTAACTTTTAATGTATAGTACAATTGTTTATGATGTATAGTTTAAAATTTGAAAATTAATAGTACATAACTTATGAGTATATCAATAACATTTCACTTTCCTATGCCCGTAAAAATAGTAATTAGTTTAAAAAGTTTAAAGATGTTAATTAGTATAAAGAAATTCTTTCTAACTTAAACTAGTTTCATTGGAGATAGAATTTTTAGTGTTTTTCTACATTTTATTACAGACAAAATATAAGCAAAATAAATATTTAACGATATGAATCAGTATTAAATGTTGAAAAACAAGTAAACTAACTGTTTTAGATTCATAAATTATGAATTCAATAGATACATACACTGTGAATAATCGACACTTTGATAAATGATAAAAATAATTTTAATATAAAATATATAAGTCTTATTTAAAATAAACACATTTTTGTTCATAAATGTAATAATTATACAGAAAAAAATTCATATTAAATGCATATTATTAATACACGAATTAAGACATGAAAATCACACGTGGAAATATATTTTAATATCCATATAATCGTTATTAAAAGCTTTTTTAGGATCTCTACAATAGTTAAATGAAAGTGAGTTATTTATTATTATTCATTTTTAAATGTTATTTTGTTAAAGTTATAAAAAAATATTTATATAATATAATAGGTACGAGTATAATTTTACAGATAAAATATATTCAATTTGTTCTTTTTCTTACCAATGAAGTAAGATATACTGCTATGATTTTAACCTTCTCCTTCTTGATAAGACTAAAAGAAGACCATATGATTGATTAATAGTGTATTTTATATTTATGTATGATGCATAAGTCTAGTCTGACAAGTTTTAAATAACGCCATGTTATTATAACTATACGATATTATATCAGTTTCATATACAAACCTTTTAAATTATCCTACGTGATTAAAAACACCGGTTGCAGCATAAAATATGAGAATAAAAATACATCGATATCATGTTGCGACTATATAATTATAAATATGGTAAAAAAAACTATTTCTAATGAAAGTAGGAAGATTTATTTTGTTATGTATTATAAAAAATTATATATTTGTTTTATACAAAACCGGAAGATTATTTTAAGAATACAGAAGATACTTTTGACAAACTATTTATACAATAGATTACTCTTTAAAATAATTTATTGCTAGACAAAAAATACTGTAGTGTAATGAGTTGTTTTTGCATAATTTCATGATTTATTGTACGTATACTTGTAAGCATCTGAATAATATAGATTTTATTTTATCTTTTTAGAATATTTTATAATTACAGTATTTTCCACTTTCATATTTTGAAATCATTCATTCTTTTGCTCTTTGTACGGTATAATATGTACACTCATTTTGGTTTTCTATTAACAAACTCAATATTATATTTCTTAATGATTATAATATAACCTAGTTTTTAGCAATATATACTATTGTTAAAAAGATTAGCTCACATTAAAATAATATTTTTTTACAACACAATTAACTCTTTTAAATAAAATGTATATATTAAATTTACTACCACGAAGGACTTAAATGATTAAATTGAAGGCTAAAAATAACAACAATTCTAATTGTTTTGAAAGAAGTTTCAAATGGTTGCTCTCTAACCCGATTATGTATGTGTGTAATATTATTTATTTTCATAAAACATATGTTATTGTTTCACTTACCAATTATAGTTTTAGTATTTGAGTTTAATGAATTTAAAATTATTATATAAATATTATTGAACAAGTCATGTAAATTTTACAAAGATCTTTTTTCGATAATTTTATTAATTACTCAATAAAATCAAATTCGATTAAATATTAATGTATAAAGCTCGTATATCAACGATTTTATCAAAGTTCATATAATATAATTTATGATTATAACAATGGACTTTAATAGATGCTTTGAAAAAAAAATATGTAAAATTTTTATTTAAAAAATTAATTTATAACTTATAATTTCCAGAAAAATAACCTAAAAATAATAATTAAAATTACAAAGGTATATTAGCTGTATATTATCACACGAAAAAAAAACACATAAATGCAATTTTTTACACTACCGGTACGCAACTAAAGAGACTTATGTTCTGATTAAATTTTGTATTTTAGTACAAAACAAAAAAAAATGAGTGATGACATTTTGGGAGAATATCTCATACTCATATACTTCATACTGTCACATTACTCTAAAAAATGTCCCATATCAGTAATGAATTATGACTAAAATCTTTAAAATATTTATTTTATTATAAAAACCCACTTATGAATAAACTTTAATGATAAACGTGTATATTTTACAGGAAAAAAATTTATTTTAGAAAGTAATGCATAAAATGAAACTTTAGTGCAATTCCAATGCACAGATAAACCAGGTATAATGTTTCAGGTGATTCAACTAATTTACTACACCATGTTCTTCAGGTTTAATCAAAATAAATTCGTACTGTGTGACTGCCTGAAAGAGATGTGGAAAATCTTTAAAAGTTACCGTTTCTCGCATTTGATGTAAATTGTATCCAGCGCGTGTATAAGAAATTAATAAACACGTATTTGTGAATACGTTATATTAAATTATCTGTCTTGTATCACTATGATGTGTATAAGGGTTATAAATCGAGTACAAAAAAAAATTAAGTAGAAAAAACTGTTTGAGCACCTTCAAGAAAATACATACGTTTGTAGCCGAATTTTATATAACTTCATTTCGGGATTAGTGAAAATACACTGTGATATTGTCGAAATATTACATTGTTCGAGTCGAGGAAATCCGACATTAATTATTGTCAATCTCGCGCATCGCGTTTGCATTGTTGCGGTCAATCGAAGTTTCGGAAACAATGATGGCAGCAGCGGAAGCGACATGGCCGAGAATTTTTTTGCACAGTCAACGTCCGGACACAATATTTATAATTATTGTAATGGTCAGCGGGAACTCGGCGGTCTTCGGCCGAAAATCGCCAAGGACTAGGAAAAATAAATTTAGAAAAACAAATGAAATTCAAATGGCGTCGTCGA